GCTTACATCTTCTGGTGCAGAATTATGATCCACGTCTCCTGCCCCTGACATAAAGGACGGATGAAAAGAGACAAGACTGCTCAGACTGCAGACGCTTTGAAAACGATCAGATGTGTATCCGAATTAGTACGACACGTGGAAGTGGCGTAGATCGTATGTTTTGGGGGTGAAAGAGTGGAATTGAACTGCTCACTTGCTGTGAAAAAGTTGAATATGGATCACTTTTGGGCAAAAAAGAAAAGGGCAGACTTGGGTTGTATTTACCTGATGTGTGAACGTAGCCTTAACTGAGCTTTGGCAGATTTTGCCTGCGGGAGACGCTTGCATGAAAACAACGTATGCTTAAATACAGGAGCGCTCCGACTGAAGAGAATCGTCATACATCACGTTGACAACAGGGTTTTTCTAACTCCAAGTAATCTGCCAAAACCAAAGGCCCGCAGGTTTAAAAAAATGATCACTGTGAATGCTGCTGCTGCGTCTCTGCAGGCTGAAACACGTATTCCTCCCAGGAGAGCAGCTCAGAAATGTGCAAGAAATGCAGAAAGATTCATACCTTGTGGATTTTCCCATATTTAGTCAAATTACAACCAGAAATGTCAAAGTATTTTATTGTGTTCCTGTGTGACAAAAGCAATATAGAGTCGTGAACGTTGTAACTATGAACTGGAAGAAATATAATGCAAACATTGTCTTCAAAAATAAAAACTTGTATGCAGCTTCAAATGGGCCCACAGATCTGATGGAGAGGATTGGCGAACAGCCATTTTTTAAGCATGGCCACTAATTCCCAGTGGGATTTAGGTGCGGACTTTGACTGGGCCATTCTAACACATGAATCTGGTTGGACCTAAGCCAGCCTGTTGTCCCTCTGGCTGGATGTTTAGTGTCATTTCTGTTTCAGTGTCAAATCTTTTCCAGCTTCCAGCAGGTTTTCTTCTAGGATTGTACTGCTCCATCCTCCTCCCCGTCAACTCTGACCAGTTCACCTGCCTCTGCTGAAGAGAAGCATCCCCAATGCATTATGCTGCCACCGCCGTGTTTCACTTTGGAGAGAATGTGTTCAGTGCATTGTGCAGTGTTAGTTTTCCTGCACAAACTTATTGAATATTTATTGCTTTGTACTCAAGGCAATTGGTTGCACTGACTTATGTTTCATATTAAAAGGTGGATGAGTACAAAATGATGGGCGGTGTGAGTTCGTGCTTGTGAAGTGGCTTCTACGGCTCGTCTTTTTGTTCTACAAAAAGTGAAAATATGAAAACGGAACAGACTCTTAACATTTTGGGGTGTTGCCATAATTTTAAGAAAAAGTTCATCTTGATGAAACTGGAAGCCATCAAGTTTCTGCTTTGCGTCACTTAACAACCTCCAAACACGTTCGCTCTCTGTAAGTCTCCTACAGGTGTGTCACGGAGGAGGAGGATGCAGATGTTGCGTAGCGAGCCTGTGTGCCATTTGTTTTTTGTTTTGTCTTTGACTGGTTTGGTTTTTGAGCTGCAGAGGCATATTCTCAGATTTCTGCTCGCAGGAGAGCAGTGGGTCAAACCTCTTTCAACTTCTGCAGAACCACATTTAGACTGCGGGACTTTTGGTGGGTCCTGACAGGAATAGAAACTTCTGAGAAGAGAAGCTACTTTTACTGGCTGTCGGTTCAGCCAGTGTTTAACAGGGTCATAAGGAAAATGTTTATTTTTAGGCCATAAGAAAGAAAGTGGAATTGAGTTTATACTTGTTCTGTGACTGTTGCAGTAGGAAGTTGGTGTGTGTGATCAATGAGGCCCTGTCAGGAGTCAAACAAGAAGGACGCTGTGTGTTTTAACCCTTTAAGGAAACAGTCGCATGCACTATAGTCTAAACTCTCTCTTGCATGTTAAAAAGGTTTGCTGACGACAGCTACACATACTTAGCTCTGCTGATGTATGAAAAAGGCTAACATTAGTGGATCCTGTTCAGCTCACTCACAGAAGACCGAAATAACTCCCGCACTCAGTAAATACATGTTTTAACATCTCAGCTTAAACACAAACTTCACTCTGAATACAGACAGCAATGTTCAGGGTTGGATAGTATTAAAATAGAGGCTGCTGCAGGACTTAACCAGTTAATAATTTGGTGTTATAAGGTAGTCTGTTGTGTTGCATTGCATCTTAATTTCACGAAGGCGTACTAAAACCCAAAGCTTGAACTACCTGCAACTGAATATTAACGGGTCGACCTGCTTTAATTTAAACGGGACTTTGTTGATTAATTTTGGTCAATAATAAGAGAAGTAGTTGCTTTTGTTACAAAACTGTCTGGGCTAATAGTTGCTGTGGTTTTTCTTAAAATTTATAATTATATAATGAGAACTACGTCAGTTTACTGGTCCTGTAATAAACTTAAGTCTATCTGAAGCAAACTTTCACTTAGGCATTTATCCCTGTAAGAATCGTTAAGCAAAGGTTTTGAAACAATTGCTCATTTTGATATGCTTTGCTTCTAAAGAAGCTAATTCTTCTTGTTGTTCGAAGCTTCCAGGTTCTTCTTCTGAAAATCTTTTAAACTTTTTCTTCAGACCTTGACTTCTATGTAGCAAGTTTTCTGGCCTATCCTTGTTCCTGGATACCGCAACATGATGCTTGATGGCGGTTTTCTGTTGTTCGGTTAAGACAAATTGTTGACAACACAGCTAACATTCAAACATTCCTCACATCTCTTCTGGTCAAGAAGAAATCGTTGTTGAAAGAACACCAGATTTTCAGTTTGCCACAAATCAGGTAGAGGACATGATCACATCAAACCAAAATCAAACTCTTTAGTTTACATGCAGCGCTCTATGTGTAGAAAACTATTCTGCACATCATTTTGAATTAACGTTCTGCAAGGTGAAACACAGTGGTGGCAGCACCATGCTGCTGAGAGGGTTTTCTTCAGCAGAGAAGGGGAAGCTGCAAAAGACTAGAGACAGGAGATGGACAACAAACCTAAACATACAGCCAGAGCATCAGTGGAAAGTACGATGAGCTGGAATGGCCCAGTCAAAGTCCAAACCTGAAGTCATTCAGAATCTGTGGCTTGAAAATAAAGGTTCATAGAAACTCTCCATTTGATCTGGTAGATTTAAAATATTGGACACAAAGTTTGGTTTCCAGATGTGCAAACCTGCTGGAAACAGTTGTGATTAAAGAGGAAAGGTGGTTCTACAAAGTATTAAAAAAAATCAAATTTAAAACAACCAGGAAATGATCTGAAACAGCAAATAAAACAAGAAGTGGAAACTCTCCTCATGCCGAACCAACCTTAATCCAGAAAATGTATGTAAAAAAAATTAATCACAAGGTACCTAGAAGAATCATCTGACCTCCATCTGTCAGCTTGGAGCTGAGCTGCTGCGGTGACCCTCTGAGAAGCGCAGTCCAAAAATATGAAGGGTCCAAATAAAATCAGGTTATGCTACAAGAACAACTCTCCCCCTCCTCTAAACTTAGACTTGGAGACAGCCAAGGACACTCACATATTTCCAGCCCAGAGTGGTCTTGCAGTTCTCACAGTAGATATCCGCCACAGCATGCAGGCCTGTCAGCAGAACTCTCTCCTCTGCAGGGCCACACCCAACGTTCACCCTGAGGGGCAGACACGAGCATAGGCAGAGCGGAAAAAGTTTTTTAAATCTCAGCGCAAGCACAACAAGTTCTCAGTAAATCCTTCAGATGTTGTGAGATGAGATTTTAGATCGGCACTCACACTGAGTTGAACAGGTAAGCTCTGCCCTGGCTGCCCTGGAACGACTGCGGAGACAATAGTTGACAAGATGAAGCAAATCTGCTTTTAAGTTGAAAGAGCTCCTAAAACGAGGGTCTAAGGGATTTACGTTTTGCAGAAAAACATTCAGTTTAATCATAAGTGATGGCAGGTGTTTCACCAGAGGCATATGTTCGCTGCAAAAACCAAAAGCTGCTGTTGAAGAGGCTTATTAAACTGCTGCATTTAGTGCAGCTCAGCAAAAAAGCCTCTGAACACAGGTGAGCGTGTCTTCATGATTGCGTATAAAAACGTGCAACTGCAGCCGTAATCCATTTCACTCTCCAGCTTATGGCATAATCCATCCATGTGCAGCGGCGCGGCGGTGGATAATACAAGCCTACAGGTGGATTAACCTGCTGTTTAGTTTTGTAATTCCTCATTTGCTTTTTAAGTCCTTGATATTTTTCCCCCAAATGTAATTATTTTTATGGGATCTAAACTAAAGGTACTCTGAAAGCTCTCTGCTGTGGGAGAAATATCTTCCTTGAACAGATTAGGAGAGGTTTATGAGCTACACAAAACATGTTTATTACATTTTTTGTACAAATTATTCTTAGATAGTGAGATTTCAGTCTGCTCAGTTCTGCCCATTTTGAGCTGCTTTCAGAATGAGCTACTTTACTGACTCTTGCCACTTTAAATCCAAATAAACTGCTGCTGGCCACGCCCCCTCCCATCTCGGCGTTTACACTCGCATGTGAAAATGGAGACAAACGGATGCACAATTACACAACAGTGCATCTTTGAAAAGCGAAAGTAGAGCCTCCTGCACAACCAACAAGAATGAAGCAAGAGCTTTCGGGATGGTAAGTTTGGTCAGCTAACCAAACGTGCTGTAGCTCCTCTTGGGTTGCTAGGTGACGGGCTGAGCTCAGCTACAGTCGCTAAGTAATGACGCAGTTACCATCGAATGCGACTTAACAATCGGAAGGATTCTGAAACGGCTCATTTCCAGTCGCCAAAAAAACGGTTGGGTTGTTTTTTTTAGAAGCAGCAGAGACCCATAAAAGTGTGCAAAATATGAATTTAGAGTAATAAGTCCTCTTTGACAAAAATGATTTCATGATTCTGTGGCTTAGAGGCAGCGATGGTGTGACAGCTTCCCCCGGTTACCTTGGAGATGAGCTCGTCGTGGTTGGCCAGGTGAGCTCGGCAGTGGATGCAGCTGTACGTCCGGTGGCAGCTCGGCAGGTACGCCTGGAACGTCTTGGAGCGCGTCATCCTGACCATGGGCGGTGTTGGCGGGCGGTGCAAAAACGGACTGCCGGCCCAGGTCGGCTCACAGGGGAAGCACCGCAACACACAGGTGAGGGCCGTGGTGGGCGGTGGGTCGGGAGGTAAACACCTGGGAGGAGAAAGCAGAGCGGCTGAACAACACCTGGATGAAAACAGAGTTGCAAGCAGCGCCTTACACAGCTGGAGTTTAAGAAAAACCTACAAACTGCATGGGGATAGAGCGTGGAGGGAGGTTTGCAGTGTTAAGTTTTTGATTTAACAAGTAAACCGAAAGGTTCGTTTTGTCCTGATCTGACCAGAACTCCGTCTTTCACCTGCCGGCTGCGTCTCCTCACTGGATTTTGACAACCTGTGTTTATTGCCAATGGTGCCTCTTTCCAGATCTTTGAACTGCATAACTGATACTTGTCCTGTCAACAGATTCTCCCACCTGCGCTGCGGATCCCTGCAGGCCCTCTGCAGTTATTATCGGCAAACTGAGTTTACCCACGCAACAGCCCTGGATTTTCTTCAAGTACCAATCAAAGAATCGTTTCATGCTTTCGCTGCATCACCTTTTGGCCATTTTGGACATTGACAGACCGGCTCTGTTTTGTATGTTGATAACCTATAAGTTTATCAACATATCCTGCAGCTAGCGGCAGAAAGTCATAAGGTATTTCAGCTTTTTGTGCAAAGCTGCCACTGCAAACTACAGCATGCAGCCCTGATGCAAACCGAGGCAAAGCGACGCTCCTACTTCACATTCTGTGTTAAAGTCTGCAAGGCTGCAGCTATAATCTGCTTATCCCAGCACAACTGCAAGGATCGTGCTCTGCTGCCTTCATGATATCCAAAGGGATCGACCCTTTAACATACTTGCTGCTTAGAAGATTAACAAGTCGGCATGGGAAGCCGTCCCGAGGGTCAGGCGTATAATCTGAGGACCTGTTGGAGAAACCGTGCAGTGGGCCGAGCTTCACATCAAGCAGCGCAACAGTAACTTGGTGTCTTTGGCTCTGAGTCTATGAATCACAAATATAATCCATCTTTTTTTCCCCCCTTTCAGAAATGTCCACATATATTTCCACAAAGTCTAAATAAAGAAAGAGCATATATCATTTCAATACTCTGTCTCCTCTCCCTCCCGTCTGCGTTTACAGAAGCATCTGGAAAAACTCATAAAATACTGATTGGAAGCCAGAGGCCTGGGTGAGCACAGGACAAACAAGAGGAGCGGGGGCCTGCGCTGCGGCATGATTGTTTTTAGAGCCTGATGGAGGCTGATAAAGGCTGATGGGAAGGACTGCAGCAGATAAATAAATAAAGCACTGAGACGTACCCTTGTTTTCTCTCCTCTGACTCGATGCCAACAGCGTAGGATCAGGGCACAAAGACACGTTACAGTTGTCATAGCTGACCCTTCACACACACACACACACACACACACGCACACACACACGCACACACACACACAACAAATGTAAGCATCTTGTCCTCCAAGATCAGATAAAAATGACTCAACATGCTGTCACGTACAGTAAGTTATATAATGTGTTAAATGTAAAAATATGCAGTTTGCACTTTGTGTATTAAGCTGCATAAAAGCGACGCAGATATATTCATAGATTTCACTTTAGGCTCCGAGGGAGTCTGAGTAGATGCAATGGATGCTTTCAATGAACGTAAGAATAAAGAACATTTGCACAAAGTAGATGAGCAGTCAACTCAACCTACCCGTCTAAGTTTCAGCCGCTCTAGCCGAACTTAATCTTCTTCCTTTGCGACGAGTCGCTGCACTTTTTACACTTGGAGTGAAATTAAATAATTTGATGCACGATGCTTTTCAAAAGTATTCCTACCCTTTGACGTATTTCACATTTTGTCACTTTACAACAAACTTTTTCATTTTTAACCTCCACAACACCTCAGATGACAACCACCTCCACAGAGGAACACGGTGTTGGCAGCATCATGCCTCGGAGATTCCTTTCTTCAGCAGGGGCAGAAAAGCTGGTCGGAGTTGATCTAAGCTAAATACAGGCCATGCAAAAAGAAAACAAAAAACAAAAAACTCAAGACTGGGGTGGAGAAGATAACGTGAGGATGTGTGAGAATGGACAAGTCAAAGTTCAGACATTATTAACATATTTCTAATAATTTCTGTTTTTTTTTCTTTCCACTTCACAACTACGTTTTAGTTTGAATTAGTTCATCACATTAAATCCCAATAAAATACATTAAAGCGTGAAATATTAATATATCTGAGGGGTATAAATATTTTTTCAAACGCTGCGGCAATCAATTACAACTGCAAGACGATGTTACAGCTGGTATGTGTGAGTATGTTGACCTCAAGTTCATCATGATAGTGTAATGCTCCCTTGAGGGACAATATTTACTACCATGACTGCATCACTGTGCTGCACATCGCATATCCTCCGGAGGCTCATGCATATGTAGAAATACACTGGAGTTTTAGAAGAAAATGGCTCCCTGATAGCCGTAGTCAGGAGTTAGTGTGTGTCAGCAGGTTGGGAGGAAACCTTATAGTCTCCGAATCCATACAGAGGAAGTGATGGCAAGTGATTAAGCAACTTAAGAAGGGTTGAGAGACGGAGCTGACTTTCTCCTGCAAACTAAAATGTCTTGTCATCCCTATTTTAAGGTTTAAAGTGTGTGATTTTTTTATCCATTATAAAATGAAATGGTGTTTTAGCTTATGACGCTCCAAATCAACCAGAAATCTTAGAATTTGTGAGAAGCGTTCACAAAATGACTTCAAAATTCTTTCAAATATACACAGAAGTAAAAAAAAAAAAGTAATTAGATTTTTGTTTACTCAGGAATTTGGTCCATGTATGAGAGCTTTGAGCATGTAAACCTCTGCTTGCATGGCACATTTCTGCTGAAAATCAGCTCTGAACGTCTGATTCGATCAATTAAAGACGATTTCTTCATCCAAAACATCTTCGACTCTGCATTGTTTGTTTTAAGATACTCTAATATCCATTTGGTATTCAAGCTGTCACTTTGGTTCGGTCATTCTAAGTGACTCAGCTTTTCTCTAGGCTTAGAAATGACGCGTGCTTAATGGTTCAGTTCTGTCTCATGACCCGATTCATGAAGTAAGTCATCCAGTCTGTGAGTCGGTTCGGATCAAACTCACGTCTTGTTGATGATTGGTCCCAACCTCCTGCTATTTCACACACATGAACAACAGTGCTATACTCGCATAATTACTATTGCATAACTGGTCAAATTACTTTTCTGGTTAGCTGTTTTTAGCTACACATTCACAACATTGATGAATCTTGCATGAATTGTGCCCTGGATGAGCACTAGAAGGCTGTTTTTGTTTGTTTTCACTGCGAGACTAAAGGTTAAATTAACCAAGACTGCTTTATAGAACCTGTGATCAACGCACAATGATTCAGCCAAGTTCCCAAGCTCGCCTCAATCTGACGCGGTCCTAAAGCCTAAAACTACTGGAAAACATGCTTTCTGTGTCTTCACAAATAGAATGAAGGTCTTCTGATCAACATCTGTTTAAAATAATCTCTATTCTCTTTGCTGATAAGTTCACTAAGTAGCTTTGATCTTGAACTGTAAATCATAAAAAATAATCCAGATTCCAAAATCACGGGAAACTACCACTTAAACTTATCACCAAATAGAAAACTAGAACATCAGATACCAACCACAAGTGTTAGTCTCCGACAGTGTCCTGAAACTTTTCGAAAGTGTGCTGCAATTATGACTGAAATCTGTTCTGAATACTCTTGTTGCCCACTGACTGAAAGGCACCCTGGGTGGCGAGCCATTTGAAAAACCCCCACATCTTCAACTGTGTTGTGTTAGTTTCCTACTTTTAAGATCAAATATGTCTCAGAGTTTGTGTACTGAGTGGATAAAAATAGCCGAGTCCAACCCAAACAAGGGGAGCCAGACCCAAACCATGATCCTCCTACCTTGTTGTTTCACGGCGGCTATAAGAGTTACATTTCTGATAAAGCTTTTTCTTTCTCCAAACTGTTGCTTCACTAGATTGCAATTTCATTTTATGTGAACATATTTTAACTCTCTCGCTGACTTGTTCACAAGATCTTTGGTAAAATGAAGTAATATTTATTTTCGCGTTGCCAAAAGCTGGAGTGACAAAAGGCCTTCAGTTTCCATGGAGCTGCCCCGGCCTCCTGGGTGAACGCACAGAGCACTCCGCAGCTCAGACGCCGATCTATGCCGCTCGGCCGCTCTCCAGGGTGACAGCGGTTTTGATTTCCCGCCGCTTGAAGACTGCGGCTGGCAGCAGATTGGTGGAGTCTTGTTTTTAGAGAGATGGTTTTGTAACTTCTTCCAGACATTTTATTGCTGGCAAAGATGCTCTGCCCCGACTCCCTGTGGGGTTGTTGACAGCGCATGCGATTTCTGGTAAGCTTCATCGAGTTGAGGCGATACTTACGTCACGGTCAAACGTTGGCGATTGGGTAACATCAAATCCAAATCGTTTAAAACTTTTACAGAACCCACGCCTCTAATAAGCAGTCGTTTCTCAATAGCCAAGGGTTCAGATCCTCTGTACAAAGCAAACTCTGTTAGCATACTATGAAATTGTTGTTTTTCTTGGGATGCATAGAACCGTTGCTCTTGTCAAAAAGTAATATCTACAAAAAAAAAAAAAAAACTCCTCTTGGGGGCTTTGAGCCATTGCAGAGTTTGATTCTACCTTAGGCTGTCTCTGATTATCACAGTTTTCCATCTAAAAGTTTTCATATGACTAGTTTTTGATGTAAAAGGACTTCCACAAACAAAGCATGTTGAATATTAGGTGAAAGATCTTAAAGAAACAACGTAGACACGCAGTTAGAAAAAAGTCTTTAACCAGTTTTAGCTTGTATAAAATGTTGTTTGAGGCTTTTCAAACAAACCCCATCAGTTTCCAAAAAAAAAAAAAAAAAAAAAACAGAGAGCACTCCAATCTTTTAGGTGAGTTAAAACATATTTTGCAAAGCAGCACTGTTTGTTGCCATGTCGATGCGCTTCAAAGTGCTGACGCAAACAGTCCACCTGAGCTGTCCTGAACTACACGACACAACAGAAACAAACTCCGACAGAAAAACAAATTGCATAAATGATCAGATGACCTGCAGCTCTCAGGGATCCTGACGGGGTGAAGAATCAAGATATCCAAAGTCATTTCAGTGTGTGCAACCTTCTGCATCATTCTCAGTCAGCCTGCCTCTGCCTTCACTTCATCCATCTCTGTGCCTCTCAGCCTGTTTGCATATTCATTATTTTTCTCTGCTGCCTCTCTGTCGATTCATCCGTCCTGCGGCAGGTTGTTTGAGGTCAGCGTTCTGGTCATTTCTGGGTGTCATCACAGAAAGGGCTACATGCCACGAGTCCCACTAACCAGAAAGGAGCCCCCCCCCCCTCGCCCCCCAAAACCCCCCTGCATACACACAACGGCAACAAAGAGGGTTACGTAATGCACCGATGCTGCTGCAGATGCTGCTGCTTTTGACCGTGATCACAAACAGAAGAAAAAGATTGAGGGCAAATCTGCTGAGTCCTCCATAAGCTGCACATCCTACGCCGTTCTGACACAATTTGTGCACATGATGTGCTTTTCATCCCACTTTCAATTCACGGTTACAGCCAGACCGGCAGCGCGCAGCGGCAGCATGACATCACCGACTCCACTCCCGACTCGTATCAAATCTCACTGATGAAGGGTACGCTCCTGTTTCCACTCCTCCTTATGCATCATTTTGCGGTGTGATGCTTGCTTTAGGCTCCACGCTTTCTGACAGACAGAAGAAAACGGCTCGTAACTTGTTGAAATGACTTGTGTTTGAGTAATTTGACAGCGTTTTGGGAGTGGCTGAGCAGCAGATGTGTTAGACACAGACTTGTGCAACTTTAGTTTGTGCACACAAGCCCTGTCTGTAAGAGATCACCTTTCAGGGCCTTCAGCTCGTCTTCGATCCTCTAACATCGACCCCTCGCTCACATGATTGCTGGCAATCTGCCTGCATGCGCTGCAATGGAAATAGATCACCGCTGACCGCCTAAATACACTTCTTAGGACTTTATTCAATTTAACTTAACTTCTTAAAAAACATCTCACCATATCTACGCCCCTGTCTATTCATTTATATAGCAGTAGTTCTCAGACCTGATAAGATACGAATACTACAGTTTCCCTGCATGTCTTACTGAAATCAGCAGTAAAATTGGACACGGCTCTTTCCCGGCTTCTTATTATGTCACAAAAAAGAAAATAAGGAAACGCTACCTCGGTCGCAGGATGCCAAATATATATGTGAACTTCTGACTTACTACATAAATGAGTCACACACGGTACTTGATGACCTAATTTAAAGCCGAAGCAAGATTTTGAAGCTACAGAGAAATACATTTATTGGTTAATTTACATTTATGCTTTAACTTTGCCTTTAATAACAGTGTGAAATCTGTTGTGGGGTTTTGCACATAAAAGGTTAGATTTAAATACATTCTGAGCCTGCTAAATACCAAAACGCTGTTATTATAACACTTAAAGCCTTCCAACTGAAAGCAGATGTGCTTTTTTTGTGTACTGTGTGAGTGGTTTAAATTAGGGGTGCACCGATTGCAGTTTTCTGGACGATCGCTGATTACCGATCTGACCCATTGATTCCGATTTCGGCTGATACCAATTTTCTTTTCTGTCTGAAATGTCACGAAAGTCACTGAGTTGGCAACAGAGGGGTGACTATTGTTAAAAGAAAAATGTGCAGACATGGCCTGGTGGTCAAAAGAGAGATAAAGATGAATAAGTTTTAGAATTTTGCTGAGGTGGATAAGATCGGCTTCACATGGAAATATCGGCTGATTACCGTAAATTAAGGAAATAGGGGCCGATTTATTGGTGCATCACTAGTTTAAATAATATATATGAATGATGTACCTGCTCTTGATTTAGAGAACTAATCTAATCTGATCTAATATGATATAATCTAATCTAATATGATATAATCTAATCTAATATGATATAATGTAAGGGATTTCTGCTTTGAAATCTACAGCTACAGAATTCAGAGAGGGTAACTCCACGGGCAATGATTAAGTTTATTATCAGAGTAAGTCGATAACACAATCAACCTAATACAAAACTAATAAAATATGTTCTTTAAATCCATATTTTTGCTCCTTTGTGCAAAATACATACCTGATTTAATGTGTAAGTGGAAAATATTAGATTTACAGGGTAAACAAAGTCCATACAGGGGTTAAAAATGAAGCATGTCCTCCTGGATGTGGGCACTGACAGATAATGTCAGAGAGAAATCTCATCTTGTGGAGTTACGCACGGATTAAAGACATGCAGCCCTGGTTAGTTTACAGTATAAATGTGTAATTACTGGTGTGAATCAGGTCACAGGAAGTGGCGCACTTTATCTGGGGCAGAACTTCAGCCACCACAGATGGCGGGGATGCCTCACCTAACACACACACACACACACACACACACACACACACACACACACACACACACACACACACACACTGCTGCCTCTGAAAACAATCCGCAAGGATTTTGACAGGTGACTGCCGTCAGGAATCACATGACCTGATTATATGATCACCCGCATCGATCCCGCTGACGTGCAAGTATGGTGGAGCTACGTGCAGGGGAGTCAGCATGAGTTTTTCTTTTCTAAAAAACAAAACAACAACAACAACAAACAGACAAATACAGTAGCTCCAAGGCAGCGAATATGTCAGCATCCCCTCCATGAGGAAACTGCATCAGCTGCTCATACTTATGCAATATGCGAAACTTGACTTGAAACGTAACCGCAAATGTTGCCTAAAGTAGAAGACACCTTAATGAGGAAAATTGTGAATGACCAGATCGCTTCCTGAATAAGCCGCAAACAGAGACATAAAAACAGTGCGTAACAAAAATGCACCACCACTACAGTGGGAAAAATTATACGTACCTTTGAGAGGAGTAAAAACACGTCTCTCCACGTAGCCTAAAAAAAAAATGTCGCAGTTCCTCGTTTTCTTGCTGGCGGTGCCAATCCTAGAAGCTCTTTCGCATTCCTTCCCCAGGCAAATTTCCTCCGCTCTCCGGCCCTGGCAAGTCCTGCAGAGACGCAATGTTTTGACGCGCAGCGGTGCCCAGCAGAGTTTACTGAGAGACGGACAGAGATTGGCGAGGCGCACAGCCGGAGCGAGATGACTCACCCCGAACAAATTCCGCGTTTGTAGTTTTATTTAAAACCTTTTTCTGCCAAAGTTTTAGACGAATACTAAATCGTAAAATGAACGATCTACTGTTGTTCACGTATTATCAAAGTCACTAAAAACACGTATGAAAAAGCCAGGAATAATTTTTTTTTGTTTGTTTTTTTGTTTGTTGAAAAAACGCAATCCTGCTTTTCGCGACCCTTTAATTCACATATATTCTAGAGTCTTAGACTGAATTAGACAAACATAATTTGTTTCTAAAGTATGAACAGCTATTTCTACAGTAGGTCCAAACACCAGAACCTGGTTTGATCCGAATAATATAACAAGAGTAAGGAAAAAATGTAAAATATGTATGTATATTGTCATTTAAACTGTTATTATGAAATAAGACGCCATTTAATATTTTATTTTATTCCTGATATTTTTAAAATAATATCGAAAGTTGCAAATATCAAAACAGTCATTCTTTATATTTTGTTGACTGTAAAACTATTTTTGTAGCTTTTTTTTAAACCAACCAGATCATATAAATTTAGAAAAACACATTGCATTAAACTTTCCATGAAACGTTTAATTATAGGTTCTGTTAAAATTAAACAGTAGCGTTAACTATCTTGGATCGAGGCTCTTTGTTATGTTTGTTGTGATAATTAAATGACAGGCATATCATCCAATTAGCGAACCGCAACAGCATAGCAACATGGCTCTTATTGGCTGACGGCAGAGGAGGGCAGCCAATAATCTTGTTAGCGTTAAACATCTGAGAAGTATTTAAGCAGATTGTGCTTTTGTAGTTAAGTGAAAATACATATTTTATTTGTTCTCTTAAGATTTTAAATGTATCGGTTAATTATTAAAAAACAAAACAAAAAAAAGCAACTAAAAAACAAAAACAAAAGAGCCATTCTAATATTTTCCCGTCTTCGTTTACAACTATTTCAAGTTCTCGTGTACACAGCGCCCCCTCCTGTCGGTTTAGCAGATGCCTTCCCTTTACACAATGATCTCCCCTCCGCCCCCCCAAAAAATAAAAATAAAACTAATTGTAATTAACGATTTAACAGCACAAATACGTCAAGAAATACAGACAAGAATTCATGTGGATGAAAATTCACTTTTTATTGTCTCTAGTCAATGAAATGCTATATAGTCTGTGGGACAAGGCCTTGAAAAATCCAAGGTGCCTTGTTCCACAGACTGATGCTGTTCAAACAGAGCAGCTTGTTTGAAGCATGAAGAATAAAAGGACACCAAAAACAGCACAATAATGTCACTAACAGTGGATCGGGTTCAGCAAAAAAACAAAAAAAACCAAATCGCTGTGCAACTCAAGAAACACTATGTAAGTAATCCAATGAAAGCAGTAAAAAGAGAAACTCTGTTCCCACAGCAAAATACCAAACATCTCATAATACATTCAATCATAACTACATTCATTACAAACATGTGGTCACATGTTTAGATCAGAAAATATCATTGGTATATATGTGTAGAAACCCTATTTCACCCTCCTTACAACATCACTGCAGGAGTATTTGGTGCCTGGGTATCATTGTCTCGCAGTTTTTAACACATTGCAACTTCAAAAACAGCAGAGAAGTTAAATATCGGAAACATAATTTCACTCTATTGGGCTGGCATATCATCTAAAGATTAAAATAAGATATATGATTTAAATATGTTCACTGTTTCAAAGACGCAAGAGAAGATAAAAGATTCATAAACTGTGCAAAACTCTTTTCTCAAGTCACAGATGAGCAACATATTCACTTGATGTAAGGAAGAAAAAAAAAACTAAAAGAATACAACAAAACCAACAAACTGCTTCTATTACAGTACAGGGAACAATAACAATGGGTTTGTCTCTTTCAAGTGTCCTCTTACTACAGAACAGTGGGGCCTTCAAGCTGAGGACTTCCAGCAGGACATTTTTGACTGGCATGTAAACTTTTCTTTCAGCTGACGACAAGCTTTTTTTATTGCAAAGGCCAAACAATAGCCTGATTCAACATACTGCAGCCTAAGAAACCAACGCTGTACCTACTGTTCAATATCTGAACAGTAAAACCACATGATAAGTTGTAAGAAAATACATTTTCACGTAATAAAATCAAAATTCAGATCTGATAGAACTAGCAGAATATATTTTAGTGGTCATTTTGTCCCACTGTCTAGATTTCCTTCAACACCCAACACTGTTTTCAGTGCATGTCTAATGTTAGGGGGGAAAAACACACAAAAACAACTCAAAAAGGGAAATGATACTGCAGGTGTAATACAAATAGCTCAGACATCGATTATCACGTAAACCAAGATTCCCCCCCCCCCTTCAATATTTTTTTCAGCCGTCAGTCATGTTAGGGGAAGAAAGGTTTTCATCAACATATGGCAAGGGAGGAAGCTGGAATTGAACCCAAAATTTTCCAACAACGAAACAATAAATGTTCCCTTTGAGCCAAGGGGAACAGAATGGCAATGTTATTGCCTCTTGGAAAGAGGAAGACGAGGGACCCCCGTGCAGATGAGCCGACGGTCGTTTTTAAAGCCAGAACTGATCTCCTGCAACACTTCAGTAACGCCATCGTCAGCCGTGATGCTGTAGTCTAAGGAGTCCATGTTCTATTTTGTACGTGAACGTAACTTTTCCGACGAGGACCGACGTGTGCACAATCAGGTTGAGCAGAAACGAACACTTCAAAGACATCACTCTGCGTTCCACTAAATTTAACTAATGAAATAAATTAACTTAAATGTTTAAAATAAAAAATGCAACTGCTTGCAAAGTTAGATTTTTGAAGCTTAAAAATAGGTTTATATATATATCTATACATATATATATAGTTTGTGCTACAACATCTGTTGACTGTGTAAATGGTTACATGTGAACCATGTGTTCATGAAAGCTTGTTTTATGGCAGCCTGGCTGATATAACTGCTTCAGTTTTTTTTTTTTTTTTTAATAGTCCAGTGGCTCATAAACACCCTACACATTTTATGAGGGTTTTATCCAAATCCAGGTATCATGTAAGAAAAGTTAGGTTTTTGTCAAATTAATCAGAGACTTGTTGGGCTAAACGTACAAACCTCATAACCAGCACTCAAGGTATGCAACCATTCCAGGTAGCTTTTTGTAACCACCAACATGCTTAACACCAGGTTCAGTCGTAATTCTCTAACACGGCCGTTGCTACGTGATGAATATACATCAACGACTCTGCCAACTGGCATCAACTCAAATAAAATCTTTTTGGGATTTTCCTTTTACTACAACTACAAAAGTGTACATCTCCAACACAAGGGGAGTCAACGGAGTCTCATACTTGTGCGACACACTGTGGAAGTAGGTCTGCAGGAATGCGTGCAGTAAAAGTGGGCGAGTGTGGGGAGTTTGTTTGGCAGGTCAGCGAGCTTGAAGGATAATGACCGTGGAGACAGGGAGGTCACTGGGGTTTAGAAATGCCATTCCTATCCATGAACTCTTTGAGCCTGGTGGGAAAATCCGTCATCACTCCTGTGGCTCCCAGGTCGAACGCCCTTTGGAAATCCTCCTCGTCGTTCAGCACCCAAATGTACACCTGAAACCAGACGCGCACAGTTAATCCACGCAGAAACAACGGAAGGAGGTGTCACCCGCCTCCATCTATATTTGAAACATGTGGGACACTTGGACATTTTCCTGGCAGCTGCATTTAAAGTACAGCAACATTTCCAAAGCAGATGTAAGATAAAGCAAACAAACAAACAAAAAAAAAACCCTGGTCATAATCAATTAAGTTTGGAACTCAAAGTAAATAGAAGAAAATGGTAAATGAACCTATTAGTTTCATTTGATTTTGTTTTGTGTTTCTAACCATCCACTGCGTTTTAGTGCTGAAAAGCAGGTGTAGCCTCATGTACCTGTATTCCTCTGGCTGTTAAATGTTGGAAAAGAGCTTTCCTCATCAGCAAACTGCAACACACAAATACATATCCTTTAGAAAATCATTACAGCTTATACAAGGCAGGCAGAAAAGCAATTTAACTTATATTCAAAAGGTTTATTTTTGATTCATCTTTTTTTTTTTTTTTCCAAGATTTTCAACAGGGTTTAAAATTATAAAAGCCCGTCTATATTTCAAAAACTCTTTGAAGTTATTTCAGAGAACAACACATTCTAGTTAAGACTTTTGTTTTACCAATTAAAGCTGTTGGAGTAAAGACTTTAAAATATTGTAAATCCTATATGATTTTTTTTTTCTCAGATAGAGAAGGTTTCCAAAGTTGTGAAATCATCTTATGAGAAGATCAAATAAATGCAGAGATTCAGACATGGGATAGGAGTCTCACTATGTTCTGGGTCGTCAGCTTGTACGTCTTTTTTTTTTTTTTTTTTTACTTCTGTATTATTTTTATTTTATCAGGATAAAATAGACTAAAAGCCTCTTTTTTTAAGAGTGTTGTAGTCAAGAGGTGGCAACAAATACAGTACAAAAAGTTACACAGTTAAAATAAAGTGACAAGCCATCAAAAAAACACATGCCATTCAATGTAATCAAAATATCTAAAATGAAGTGTTCAGTAAGCAGGAGGAAGTCGTTTTAATGTCAGGGGCCTGTACCTGGTATAACAGGAAGCTTTTTTATAACCTGTCAATCTCTGAAATGACCAAAGCTAAAGATCCTAAAAAGTTTGTTTTAAACAGTTACTCGGTTAACTTCTGGGGAGCTGTGTGGTACTTGTGTGGCTTTTGTCTGGCAGACAGACGCTTCCTTGATTTTATATCCTCAGCTTTGCATCTTTTTTCTGTGATGACACAGAAAAAAAGACCTATGGGGCATCTTCAGATCTAGAGCCTCATCTCTTTCCTCTATTTATATTCTACCTTTGAGCTTCATTCTTTTGAAACAAGATTTGTCCTTTCAATGGAATGCAGATGATGGTCAGGTTTGTATCCCATTTTGAAAAGAATAGCAGCTACATCTGGAACGCCTCGCTGACATCAGGCCTTCAGAGTAACATGGAAAAGGTTTATTAAGACGAATTAAGAGACTTACGTGTCTGCAAGCCAGGCGATCAACCGCTGACTCCGCGTTAATCTGCTGGGATCTTGTAGTCTGTAAAAAAAAATAAAACAAAAAGAATAAAAATAATGCAAAAAGTTAGATATTTTAAGTGTCAGCAAAACTTGATGAATGTTTAAACTGTGTAAAAGTTTGACAGTCTTTCATTTTTAATGTGGGGGAAAAGGATGCACAGCTGAATCCACCAAGTGACTGACAGAAAAGCACAGATCAGGATATTCTCAACTCAACTTTTACAGTTGTATCATCTCTTGCACTTTCATTCATTTGTTCACAAATCCTCAATTAATAACAGAGTTGAGCCTCTGAAATCTGCCGCCTAAGCGTCATCCTTATAACTGTTCCGTAACAACCACATAAGTGAATCACATAATCTTATCGGACATTGTTTTTTTGTTTGAAAGTGGGATGTTAAGATACCCAACGTCTTTGTGATGTCTGCAACAGTTAGTATGCAAACTCCACAAGATAACGCCGAGGTCAGAATTAGGGACAAAGAGCAGCAAACACTGGAAAATCCATTAAAGCATCGAGTTCACAGCGTGGAACAAAGGAGAAGTCAATTCTGAACCAAGTTTAACGAAGGCACAATACGTTTTGACCATCAGAGGAATCAACTTAAAGTCCAACTAACAACAGCACTGAATGAAAACACTCCAATGCTTCAGCTCGCATCTTGGGATCTTGCAGTCAGAAACCTAACACACTCATATGTCTGATAAAGACACATAATGTGATTGAAAGATTAAAAAGGATTTTTTTTTTTTTTTAATGTTGACCTTTTCTATAAATGTAAAGCTTGACGTAGCTTTTAGGATTAGAATCAAATTCAAATGAAACAATATTTTTAATAGAAATAAACATTTTTTTAAACTAATCAATCAGCTTTATTCCAATTTTTTAACATAAACAATTTGTAGATATGTTGTCATTGTGCTCATGGGACAGAAAAGCTACAATTTTTTTTATTTATTGTCTCAGGGGAAAATGCTGTCATGACCCACTAAAACTGGTTAAACTCGTTATTTTCGAATGAGATTTGAGTCACAGGAGAGGCAAAGCGTTTCTCTTTAGAACCATCTTCCCTTCTTTTAAAACGCTGTTCGCCTCTCTGGAAATTTAATGTACCGTCCCTCCGTGTAGTTTTTCCAGACGGTTTCCCCTCATGCAGCTCATCGAAACATTTCCTCAAATCAGCTCTTTTCTCAAGCTCTGCAGACACTGCAGCTCATATGCCGTACATGTACTCACTTGGTTAGCAGGGAGGGCATGGGGATCTCCAGAAACTGCTCCTTCAGGGGCATAAAGGGCAGGAGGCCTGTGTAGAAGAGCCCGAGAAGGTGCAATACCCTGGGAAAACTGAACAAAACTGGAATATGGGGATTCTGAAAGAAAAAAACAAAAAAAGGAAGAAAATCTCAGTCAGATTGCATCAATGCAAAACTTTTAAGTCACTCTGATTGACAAGTAAAGACAGGAGCTTGTATGTTCAAAAGAAGCTGGGATGATTTCGGTACTTTTATGTTTAACTATGGTGGTGTGAGAAATGCAGACAGAGTTTTATACTACGTCTAAATAAAGGACAACTAGATAAAAATAAACAAATATTCAGTCAAGCAGCTTTACACAGAAGAGGTGAATTCCCTAAAATGGGTTTATTAAATTGATTAAGAAAAAAAAAAGCTAACTTTCAGGGTTCTGGCACATTTTTTTTTCTACAAACAAACTATCAGATGGAAGAGTGATTGGACAGATTCAAAGAGAATTTGAAAATACAAACAGTTTTTAATATCTATCCAGACACATTCTTCACATTTCCTCATTTTTTCCAAGACTATGTATGAACCCTACATTTTAAGTGCATAAAAGCAAAAAAAAAAAAATTATATATATATATATATATATATATGTCGACTAAAACAAGGACATCATTTCATTGCAGTACCTCCTTGTAACATTTTTTGACAATATGGTTCCTGGAGTTGCCCCACACAGTCAGATCCTCTCTGTCGTACTTAACGACCAGCTCAGAAACCTGTAAAGAAAAATTTACATTTGTATTTTTTTTTCCCACTACAGAAATCACAAGACAACTTTGTCCTCCTCGTCCTTCGTTTTAGAAATAAAAACATGTGATTTCAGTCTTTGCTTGTTTAGTTACACCATTCATGAATCATTTTACTCTTCTAACAACACACAGTTCATTAGTTTGTTCAAACTCAAACTTTTACATCAATAAAGAATCTACTTTAAAATAGCACTGCATTACTTTGCTGTGTGAATACTTGAGAAAAAAACAAAACAAAACATGCACACACCTTCTTAATGAGTGTGTCGTTGTTGACCTTGATGTCGATGTTGACGGGAGTGTTTGGGAAGGCATCAAAGACATCCCTGAGGAGTGGGATACGTTTGTCCTCGCCGCCCTCGCAGAAACACTCTGGCCAGAGAAAGACGAGTCAAATAACACGATCTGATTCAACGGGAGCTCAAAACTGTCAGCTGGAAGGGCACTCATCGCTCCTCAGCAGCTGCATTTATGTACAGTACTTGAGTGTTTGCAGTCAGACACAACCCTAAATGTGGGAATTAGAAGAACTTGGAGCGCAACTTATGAAATTAGTGGTGGATTTGCAGTTCTTACCCCTTTGAAAAGTTACACCCAGCTTGCAGAGATATGGGGGAAGTTCCTGCAAAAGCACACAGCAGCGAAACGTTTGCAGAAATTAAAACTGCAGTCACGGTGTTTCTGTACGGTCATGACGATATACATGCTACATGGGTCTGAACATGAACAAACACAAATTATCACTTTTTTTTTTTAGACACATCAAGCCTGCCATGTCTATGAAGAGTGTCTATAATTTATAAATGTACTCATATAATTTATTCTTTATGTAGATTATGAAAAATCCATAAACTGCAGTCTGCTACTCAAGTGGCCTTCACTCATAATACTTTTTATTCCCACACTTAATTAAAATCTTTTTGAATGCCTTCATTTTAAGCAAAGTTCTTCAAAAAAAAAAAAAAGAAAAAAGGTTGTGCTTCACTCCTGCTCAAGAACTTAGCATACCGGGTTGAGACAATGAGATTAAAAACATTATTTTCAGGTCCTTGCTGTGATTTTTGAGTAGAACTTATTTAAACATAGTAATAGAGGAGCATCTGTTTTGAAGATAACTTTTAATTGCAAAACGTTTTCATGTTTTTTTTCCTCTATACCCACAAAATCTGTGATAGCCAAATGAGAAGGACACCAAACTGCATTACATGTTAAGGAAGCTAAAGCTAATGTGATTAAAAAAAAAGAAGTATTTTTTTTACAAACAAGATTGAGCTGACCAGCTGGTCATTAGCCATTCACTCACAACAAAGCTAAAGAGCCTTACATTTAAAGAAAATGATCTTCAGATCCACAACACACAACGATCTCCACATTTATACACGACATGCACAACAACTTTAAAATAAACTCAGATTTAATGGAGAAGCAAAAAATGAAAATAAAAAAAACAACCTTTAAATTTAACACACTTATTCTGTGAAGACGAGTTCTCTAGCCGTGAGCTTTGAAGATTCCGTTTTAGCCATCTTCACCTTAAATCCAGCAGCCATTGGGCAAGAGACCAATGGCTGCTGGTTTCTTAAGTTATTTTATTCAAATACAATAACTTAAGTTATTTATTAAGTTATTTTATTGAAAACGATTATATCTTGATACAAAATAAACCTCCCTACTAAATAAGTGCATTGAAATTAAAGCTTTTATTCTTATATTTTTTAATTGAAATAATGCTGCTGCTGCAAAAAAAAAAGATTTTAAAGCTTCCAACACATCTTCACCAGGATTGATACAACCTCCAAATGATACAAATTTGTCTTTTAGCTAGAAGTTCATAAACAAGGTAAACAAAGCAGAAATCTACTACAGGAAATAATTAATCAACTAATTCCCATCAACCCACAGGTCATGATGTTAACCAACATGTGACACAATCAGGTGGCTTTGTGTGCAAAGCCACCTGATTGGCTTTGCACATGTGTGTAATCAGTTGATTACACACATGATCCAGCTCACGTCTAGAGGACTGCACTCAAAAACCACAAGATGTTTTTAACCCCAATTCTTCTTAAAATCGGACCAAAGCTGGAATGTTTTAATGTCGACAAATGTTTCTTCAATTAAGGAAGCTACAGGGATGGAGAAATATAGCATACACAGAAACTAAACAACAGATTTTGCATGTTTATAAAGAAGCACAACTCACAGCATATGTCAGGTCGCTGATGTTAGCATTGATGCCACAAAGCCTCTTCAAGTTGCCATCATGCGAGACCACAACCTGCTCATCCTTCGTCAGGTGGCAGTCCAGCTCCAGCATGTCTGTGCCGAGATCCACAGCACTGCATGAACCCACACAGAGAGCACACTGCGGTGAAGTTGTTTATAAAAGTGTTGAGATCAGGGAAACTGGTCCTCTCAGTGACACTTAGGACTCCTCACCGTGATGGAGCGCATGTTCAGCAAACACAAAGATGCTCACATCCCGGGTCCAACACGGATATAAAAGAACATTCGACTCACTGTTTGAAAGCTGCCATGGTGTTCTCCAGGTTTTCTCCAGCGCCTGCAAGACGATGCATAAACATCAAGGAAGCTGCAATGTTTTCTCTGTCTTATAGAGCGAAGATAATCTACAGGGATTCATTCTGGGGGTTCATGAATGCACCATTGTTGACACTTTCAGTTAAGCCCAAAATTATTCATTCCCCCTAGCACATTTTAATTCAAGATAAGGCCTAATGATGGCCTCTTTCCACAGATCTGCTATCAGATTTAAGTTGGGATTGAACAAATGTAATTTACAGTGCTTTTCAAATGTATTCAAACTTCCCAATGCTGCTTGTACACAGTTTTCTTTTTAACACTGAGATTAAATTACACACAGATACACACTCATGAGTTGATTTCTGAATGCATCTGGTCACGGAGGATTTTGTTGGGTGTATCAGATTAAAGGGGAGCAAACACAACTACATGCCACAATTTTTAGATATTTACTCAACATATTTTACAAAGCCTGAATTTTTTTGTTGTTAAAATAATATAAAAATGACTTTAAGCTTGTAGAAATTACATCACAAATTGAGCGTGAACATTACCACTGCAGTCCATAATAGTTTTCAGCTTTATTATATTGTAAGCAGTCTGTTTTTTTTCCCCTTCAGGCACAGTTTGTATCTTTTTTCATTATTTTACTCAGTTTGTGCATTTCTTAAAATCCACCTGTACATTTTTTTTCTTTTCATTTGATCTTACTTTAGAGCCCACCTCATTTTTTATTTTATTTTATTTGTTTTTACTTTTAATTTCTCTATTGGTATATCCACCTGCTTCTATTCACTTATCACTTTGTTGCTGATACACCTGAATTTCTCCATTAAGGGGCTATAAAGGTTGAACTCACCTCCACGATGGGAAATGTGCTTGCTGAGGAACCTCTCCCTCTTCCTCCGGTGCAGAAGAGTTGGACATTTGAGCAGCAGGGCCGAGGTGAGCACATACCCCGTCACTGTAGACACGATGTAGATAGCGGCACACATCTCCTATCAGTCCTCTGCAAAACAAACAGTTCCCAGTTAGCATCAACAGCTAGGCAGGGGTTTCAAAAGACTTACTGACCCTGTCTGTCTTTATCAGAAGCAAATGATTATTAGATGGAAGCACTGAAGGACAATCTGAGGAACAGGGAGATCTGAACCACTTCTGGGTATTTACTAAAGCGTGTTAAAGGGGTAAAGGGCTTCAGAAGGAGATTCAAAACAGGAGTGCAGTTAATAGATATTATTGACTATTTTTGTCCTGATTAAAAGCATAAATTTGACCTCTTAATTAAGCCTATGCATAATCTTTAAAGTACACTCAAGTGCTGGTCAAGTCAGTGTCATAAATTTATAAACAGTTAATTATTAAATTTATCTGAGGACATATTTGGTCAGCATTAATTAGATGCTCCGTCGTTAAGCGATGCCATTCAAACAGCATCATAATTAGGTCTTACGCAGTAAAGATAATTGAGCACGGATTGCTCTTAAAGATAATAATAATAATTAAAAAAAAGAGTAAAATAAAGTCAGCCTTATGGACCACATCAGGAACAACTGATGTCGATGTCCAACTAGCTTTACTTAGCTAATGGTAGCGATAATAGGGTCAAACTCTGTCGGTGGGTTCTTACCTTTGTCATCAATCACTGTGATTGCTCTCTGTTCGTTTCTCTGACCTCCTCGGCTGGGTGCAGGTCAGCGGTCTGTAGAGGTAAACTGATGTGTTGGCCTCTGCTCTACATATGCCCTGAGTCTACAACACAGCTGGAACAACATCAACCGCCGGCTGTCAATGGTACGCGCATGCGCTTTTCGCCTCTACAAGTCCTCAGGCAATGAAACAAGCACTTCCGCTAAGAAATTTCAGAATAAAAGCTGAGTGAGATAAATAATATAATCAAAGAAAACACGCTCATAGTTGTTTTTATCTCACAATGAACAGCTTTAACATCTATAACCCTCATAATAATTCGAGGCATACTCAAATATGTAAAGCTAAATTAAAAACTAAGGCTTCCGTCAATGTGTTCTTGCCTCAGTCATAAACAAGTAGAGGCACAAACGACACGTCTGCGCCTTCGCCATATTGTGAGAGGCAAGTTCTCTCGTATTATATACTTGGAAACTGGATAACAGCTAAGTTTGTTGAATGTTATTCGCCTACTAATTTTACTTATGACAACTGTGAAAGCTTTAAGAATAAAATAAAAATAGAAATTTAACAGCAATACCTGTGTTAAAACAAATGGAATAAATTGGAACCAACCAAACTTATTTTTGTGTATACAAATTTATGTTTTGTGTCGTCTTCTTAGGAACTCTAGAGAATCGATGCAGCTTATTTGTTTTTCAAGTTGAAAGTTTTGTCCATTTACTGAAGATTTCAGTCATTACATCGTAATAGTAATACATTTCTGGAACAGTGTTCAAGTGCAGGACAGTTCAAAATGCAGACAGACCTGAAGTACTTCATTTTTTCATTTGCTTGTTAACTGAATTGCTGCTGCCCTCATGCTGGCAAACTGACGTGGAGACGTTGTGCCATGTAAAGTTGTAGGTAGCACGTGTATATTCAAAATGTTTTCTTTATCAGAGCAAGTTAGCCACATTTAATAAACAATTATCAAACTGTGTCGCTGCTCACAGAATCTTTAATTGTTTCAAGAGGCAAAAACTACAATATAATTCAAACAGTAAATTACGGTGCCATTCAAAAATGTACACTTATCTAATGCACTGACATGCAGTATTAATGTTTTTTTTAAGTAATGATAAATTAAAGTCATATCACATAGAAGATCAATAAATCTAAAGAGGACAGGCTGTTCAAGCACAACTACAGGTGAAAACCTGCAACTCAGAGCAAAGGTCACACAAAGCACACTTATGTCTACCTGCACTCTAGAAACAGGACAATTGGATGACTGATGTTTGAACAAACAAGTTATATTGACAGCTTAAACAGGGAGAACAGTACAGAGAGACAATTAGCCTGCCTCCTCCTTTTCATGCTGGGAGAGACAGCAAGCTCACCCAGCTGGATGCTGGTCACACATTTTAGTCACACACTGCTGTGGGATGGCATCCCGTTCTGGCAAGTCAGCCAGTGTGATTGTGTTAGTAGTTGCTCTAACATAAACAGCAGCACCTCCTTGCTGAGTGTTCAATTGAGAACAGGACTGAAGACATGCCATTCCATCCTCGCTGCTCTTCACTCTTGAGTCAAAAGTTCTGGTAACACTTTATTTGAAGGGGGGTGAATAAGACTGACATGACACTGTCATAAACATGACATAACGCCTGTCATGAACATGAATAAGCCTTCATGAATATTTATGACTGTTATCATAAAGCGTCATTCGGTAAATTACGACACTTTTAATACAAAGTTGACATTATTCAAAATGTCTTTGTTATGACAACTTGACATTAACCAAGAAATCATTACTGTTTAAACTTTACCTTTAATAACATAAAGTTACCTAATTTTTAAAGTGCAATCAGTAATACTTTTATAACAAATTTATATCATACTTAAGAATTAAAAGCCTGAATTTAATATGGCTGTTACTATAATAAATAAGCTCTGGGTCATCAACATCTTAACTTTGAGCCTCAGTTGCAGAATTGAGGTTCTCCCAGTCCACCAGATGTTGCTAATGTGCAGTTGTGTCTCCAACAAACTATGTTAATGTTTTAGATGTGTATGAGGTCAATGTCTAACTTGATGGTTGAACTGAAGCAAAGGTAACACTTCTGACCTCGCATTGTACAAGAGTCCACAATAACGACAATCAGATTCAGTGACTGATAGTACAAGTCAAAGTCCAATCTACGTAACATAGAGTCGATGGAGAAATTATTCACACCTACGTGATAGCAGAGTTACTTTAGGCATTTCGTAGCGCATAAACAATTAGCCGGTGCAGCTATTTTTTAGCTGGGTTTTGGTTTAATATTAGGGAAACAAAATGCCTCAGTCAATGAAAGAAATTCAGGAGGAATGGAAATCTCTGGAGCAAGATTTTCAGACGCTTCAGGTAAGAAATATCCTGTCAGCTGATAGTATCTTGTCCAATTCTGCAAAATCCATAACACTCAGTTTTTTAAGATGAATTTTAAAATCCACTAACTAGCAGCCAAGCTAATTTGTCACACATTACATATGCTTTTTACTTATTTATGCATTTACATTTTCTTTACAGTTATGTCATTTGTACATTTAAACCTTTTCTATTGCCGTTTTCCCCAGGAGACACACAAAAAATATTTACAGAAACTGGATGAAATCTCCAAACTCCAGAGCAACTGTTCATCATCTATCGCCCGTCAGAGGAAAAGACTGAAGGAGATGTCCAGCCAAGTCAATAAGTAATTATCCACACACCCTGAAATTTGCATGAAGATATCTTAGAGGGATAAAAGGTGAACCAAATACACCGTCAGCTAAAAGCAGCTGATAATGATAATATTTACTCTTTTTTTTCTGTATTAGGTGCACAAAGGGATCATCAGCAGATGATGCAAAGACTGTAGGTAACATAAAAGAGAAAGTCAAGACCCAAGAACATGCTTTCTCTGAAATGGATGCTTTCCTTCCCAAGAAAAATGGGTGACGACATGAATTTTGATATATTTTAAGTTGAAGACTTTGAATATAGACTGGTCTATAACGTAGTGTTCAAAAGCTAAACAAATACACCAGTGGTGGGAAGTAACGAAG